TTACCAGCAAACCACCAACCACTGTCTTGGGAAGAACTAAGGATAATGGGACATGCCATATCATTCAGCATAATGTTGAATGGAAGGGAGACAGTGATAATCTTACAGAACTCCCATTATCTAGCTCAACTGATATCGAAGGGCATTCTACTTTCGATGAACAACTTCATGAACCATGTTTGGGTGAACAACATCCTACACCTAGTGGCTCCAAACTCAACTCCAAACATCACTCAAATGATGATGGCAGAGTGAAACATGCCACCCCACTTTGTCCCAATTCAGAACACCTATCATATGATGGATCTTCCCTTCTTCACCCCAAAAATAGCGGCGAGCATCAACCCAATCTTCACTCCTTGGGATGTTCATGCACCCCAAACTTAGCCACCCCATACAAATATTGCCACCCCCCCCCCCCCCATCAGAATCAAAACACAACCTCAAACCCAACAAAACCCACCAAATCAAGAGGAAATGATGGAGGAGGCAGTGCAACCACCCGATAACTTACTACCAGAACTAGTGATAGACGATTCAAATCTCGACGAGATAAAGGTATTCATCTTCATAGAGATGCAGGAACAGAGGCAAGTGCTCAATTGTCCATTGGCACTCTACAAGTGCACCATGGACATAAGGCCCCCAGTAGATCCATCAGTAGGACAACATGAAATGATTCTAGTTCCCTTTCAAAGGAGGAACCCAGTTCATACACCAAGAGTGCTAGAAAATGGAGACCTTCACAACTGGACAATCAACATGAATAGTCCAATCTCCTTCATCATCTGGAATGTACGTGGGGGAAATAACGACACCTTTAGGCTTAATCTAAGGGAAATGGTTGATATGCATCGCCCATGCATGATCACACTATTGAAAACTAGGATGGACAGCCACATGTCCCTCATAAACCCCTTTGAATTTTCTAATATGATAGAGATTCCGGCAGAAGGTCAATCTGGTGGCATGGTTATCCTTTAGGATCACCATATGGTCAATGTTCATAGTTTTGTGCGTAGGAATCAAGAAATCAGTGCTACAATTGAGGTAATCCCTACTGGAAAAACTTGGTTATTCACCTCTATTTACGCTAGTACTACTATTAATCTAATAAATCAAATGTGGAACAACCTTATTAATATTAATACTTATCAAGGACCTTGGCTAGTAGGAGGTGATTTTAACGATGTTCTTGACTTTTCGGAAAAAATAGGTGGTAACCAAGTGAATAGAACCCGTTATAAATATTTATGGAACTGTATCAATAGTTGTAACCTGATTGACCTAGGATTTAAAGGCTCTAAGTATACTTGGACTAATCGTAGTAAAACAAAAATGGACTTAATCATGAAAAGGCTAGATAAAGTTCTAGCTAACAGTGAATGAATTAGTTGTTTTCCAAATGCTTCAGTCACTCACCTTCCAAAAACTCATTCTGACCACAATCCCTTGCTTCTTGAAATAATCCCTAGACCAAGTACCATACTGCCTAAACCTTTTAGGCTTGAAACTTACTGGTGTAGACACCTAGAGTTTATTAACCTAGTAAAAAGAAGTTGTACTGAGTATAATTATATAACCTCGTCAAACTCCTTTCTTACTAATATTAAAGCTTGGAAGGATGAAAATTTTGGAGATCTTTACAAAAAAAAAAGAATCTTAGCTAGATTAAAAGGTATACAAAATTCCAATCACTACTATACAAGACCCTTCCTTCAACAATTGGAAAATTCCTTACAAATTGAGTATAAAAACTTCCTAAAATTGAGAATGATTACTGAAAGCTGAGGTCCCGTATTTCTTGGTTACAAGAAGGCGATGCCAATACTAGATTCCACCATATTATGGCCTGTAACAACAAAAGAAAAAAGAAAATTAGCTTCTTCAAAAATGATGCAGGATTAATGATCCAGCTGAAATTTTATCACACACAATTGTTTTTTTCAAAACACCTTCAGCACTTCTCATACTTTAACTAATTGGACTAGTATATTGCAAGACCCTACTAGCCATGAAATAATTGACCTAAAAAGCCTTGACAACCCCCTTATGCCATCTGAAATCACAAATGCAATTTTTTCATTCAAACCATTCAAAGCTCCTGGTCCTGGTGGGATTCATCCTTTTTTTATCAAAAGTATTGGAAAATAGTGGGTCCCTCTGTCATTAACTTATGCCTTCAAATTTTCTGAAATAATTCCATACCAGAAGGTATCAATAACACCTACATCTGCCTCATCCCAAAAATTCTCAATGCCAATAATTTAAAAAAATTCCGTCCAATAGGTCTCTGTAACACTAGGTACAAACTAATGACAAAAATAATTGCTAATAGATTGAAACCCTTTCTAAACAATCTAATTAGCCCATACCAATCCAGTTTTATCAAGGGAAGAAGGACCAGTGATAACGCGATCATAATCCAAGAATTGATTAGCCAATTCAAGAAAATCAAAGGGAAAAGGGCTAACATGATCCTAAAAATTGATTTAGAAAAAGCATTCGACCGTCTTGAATGGTCTTTTATCTATAGAATGCTAAAGTTCTTTCACTTTCCTCCATCAATCTCTAAATTAATAATGAATTGTATTTGTAGTAGCAATATAGCGATTCTAGTCAATGGTTCAACCACTGAATTTTTCAATCCTAGTCGAGGCATCAGACAAGGGTGTCCCCTCTCACCCTACATCTTCATACTCTATATGGAAATATTTTCTCGACTCATCTCCAACGAAGTTGATATTTGTCAATGGGACCCAATTCGACTAAATCCTCGTAGTCCCAAGATATCACACCTTTTCTTCACAGACGATCTCAGTCTTATTGCCAAAGTAAATGACAAATCTTGCAAAGCTATCAAAAGATGCCTCACCATCTTTTGCGATCTATCTGGTCAAAATATCAACTTACAAAAATCTAGGATAATATTTTCTAGGAACTGCTCTCATAATGTAACAAAGTACGTGGCCAATTTTTTAACATTCGAATCAACAACTCCTTTGGGAATTACTTAGGATACCCCATTCTCCAAAACCAGTCTAAACCTAATGAATATCAATTTATAATTGAAAACATGCAGAAAAAATTAACTGCATGGAAAGCCAAATTTCTCAATATTACGGGCAGAACAACATTAGCTTCCTCCTCATTAAATTCTATACCCAGTCATGTCATGTAATATACATACCTCCCTAATAAAGTTCTTAACCAAATAGACCGTATCCAACGAAACTTCATTTGGGGAACAACTGACAGTGCAAAGAAAATCCACTATATAAGCTGGAACACTGTAACAACTCCAAAGGAAGAGAGGGGGGGTCTAAGACTAAAAAGGCCAAGAAAATCTCATTTTCCTTGCCAATCTTGCATGGAGAATGCTCTCAAACCCAACCACCCTATGGTCCAAAATTATCATCACCAAATACACCAGAAATAGTCCAAAAATCCAAACATCCTTCGTTTGGAAAAGCATATTGAAAGGTTGGTCCATCTGCTCAAAAGGAATTAGGTGGCAATCATGCAAAAACTCGAATTTGGACCTATGGAACTCGATTTGGATTCCAAACCAACAACCACTCAAGGCTTGCATTGAGGGTCCCTTAACGATAAAAGACTCAACCCTAAGACTTAGGGATATAATTTCCAACAACAATTGGGACCTATCAAAAACTTCCTTTAATATCCTAATTGATATTATAAATAATATTGAGCAAATTCCAAAACCTCCTACTGAAAGTAATACTGACACTCCTATTTGGAATCTTAACACTAATGGCTTATTCTGTAGTAAAAGTTGTCATAGCATTATCAAAGACACCATAAAACCCCGACATGAATTCATGTAGATATGGAAACTTCAATGCCCTAATAAATTGAAATTCTTCCTGTGGCAATGCCTCCATAATAGAATTCCTTGTCATCAATATCTGAGCCACATTGGCATTAATATTGATAACAAATGCCCAGCATGTCGACTAGAGGAGGAATCCATTGTCCATATATTCACTAGAGGTCCTATAGTGTAGCCTCTTTGGACCAAATTAGGTTTGGAAAATCAATTAACGGCTAACATGGATCACTAGCTAATACACATCAAAGGTCTAAGACCTAACTGGAAATCTACCTATACAGAATGGGACGACTTCTTAGCTTTCATAATTTGGGGTATATGGCTAAACAGAAATAGTAACAACAACAATAACATCAACCACAACCCCTCACTCACAACCATCACCAATCACTCAACTGAGTTTCAATACTTAGCCAAAACAACCCCTCAACCAACGGAAAAATTACCATTCAAATCCGTTGGCATGTACCACCAAAAGGTTGGACCAAATTAAACATTGACAGTGCCTTCACTCTTAAAAACAGTGGTATGAGGGGCGTATTTAGGGATAGCAATGGGAAATGGATATTAGGTTTTAACAAACAATGCAATGGGCTATTTCCATTACATATAGAATTGCAAGCTCTTCGAGAGGGATCCAATTGGCTACTAGATTTGGACTACTACCACTAGAAGTAGAGACAGATTCAACGGAATTAATAAATGCAATGAATAACGGACATACAATATTGTCTAATCTAATACAATCTTGCAGGTCAATAATGCGCCAGGAGAAGAGCTTACTACTACAACATAACTTCAGACAAGGTAATTCAGTAGCGGATGCATTAGCCAAGGAGGCAAAATACAAGGAAAACAAGCAATATAAACCAGGATGCATAAAACTTTTTGCTGATCCACCTTTTTTTGTGAAGCATTACCAGGCAAAGGATCAAAGTCAGGAATGCAGCTATATAAAAGCAGTACCTCTTTCAGTATGTAATATGCTAAGGGCAGTTGGTAACAAAAATGTCCCGGCTAGCAGTAGTATTTTGTACTCGGGGATACCAACCTCTATGAACACTATGGCATGTAATATGTCACTTATCTAGTCTATCTAATATAAATCCTATTATTACTCCAAAAAAAAAAAAAAAAAAAAAAAAAAAAAAAAAAAAAAAAAAAAAAAAAAAAAAAAGCCTGCTACTTCTCTCTTCCTTCCTTTTCCCACCTTTGTTGGCAATTAACCAACCAACCACACGCACTCTCTGCCTCTCTATTTATATAACTCCCCCTCTTAGGACCTAAAAAAAAGCCTGCTACTTCTCTCTTCCTTCCTTTTCCCACCTTTGTTGGCAATTAACCAACCAACCACACGCACTCTCTGCCTCTCTATTTATATAACTCCCCCTCTTAGGACCTAGGAGCTAGAAATATCACATTATACACTTCCTTGTATATACTCCCTACATACGATAAACAACATACGCCATTTGTTATCTCTCTCAAATTATAGTCAAGTCATATAATTTATGTGTCGTCCACAACGCTTGACCCCAGTTAAACTAACCCCACTAATTAGTTTCTTGTGTTTCTGTGTGTCTTCTTCTTCCTCCTCTTTTTTTTCGGTTTGGGTTTTTGCGCAGAATGGTGTTACACTAAATTGAAGAGCTAGTTTGGTGTTGAAAGGTTTGAAACTTTTCAGAAATGGGTTTTAGTTGTTTTGGTTCTTTTCTGCAGTGTAAGGACAACAGAGAAACTCAAGTACAAGGTAACATCAATTCCCTCTGTATTGTTAACTTTTTTTGTCTTTTCCAGATTGACTAAAGATATTTCTATATTAATCCTTAACACGAATCCGTTGGTACCCAAATTTAGCAATTGTTGTAGCTCCTTTTCTTTTCTTTTTTTTAATTCTTGGTTAATATGGAGTATTTTTCTTATTCTAAGTGAACTGTGAGATGAAGGTGGAAAACCTTTTATGCCTATCAATTCATTGATGAGAATGAAAATTGATGTTATTTGAACCTGTGGACTTCTAACAGAGCTTGAATGTTCAAAATTAAGTTCTATGTACCATTAGAAAAAAATATCTCATTCTTTTTAGGTTATTTAAAAGTCAATTTCAGTAACTTTTTTTTCATAGCAAATATGGACTGATAACCTGCAAAACATGGTAAATGAACTGTTACAACAAGTAAAACTACACTGGTAATGTAAAAATCACTTTACATTGTCAGTGTGTATACTGTATTATTTAAATCCAATATTAGATTGAGACATATGTAGGATACCGGCAAAAGAAAATAGGTATGGTGATCTTCTTTTGGTCTTAATGTCATGATGATATGAGTTTAATTCAATCCAATAAGTTGTAGTATTTCAGAACTGATGCCAATTTTAAGGCCATTCTCATGTATATGCTACAACTTGGTTCCTCTTAGATTAGATAGCATTAAAAGTAATGCCTTTTCCATATCTTTTTGTGCAACCAAAGACTTTGTATGATATGAACTGTAAGGGAGTATATTTGAGTACTTGCTCAAGATTCTTGGAAATGTTCTCCTATTCTTTTGCTTCTTTTTCTTTCTCCAATTTCATGTTCCAAGACTTAGTATTATCTTTTCTTTTACTCTGAAGGATTAGAACTTGCAACCAACAATGTGACGCTGTTTTCCTATAACTCATTGAGATCAGCGACAGGGCATTTCCATCCATCGAACAAAATAGGAGGAGGTGGTTTTGGAGTTGTCTATAAGGTGAGACTTGTCAATCTTTTAGTGCTTACAATTTTCGACAAAAATTATGCCTTTAATAGGGAGAAGATGAGTTACTAAAGCTTTTTCTTCCTTTAGCCAGATTTAGTTTTGTTAGTGTACTTTAGCAACTTGCTTGTTTGATCGCAGGGAGTTTTGAGGGATGGAAGGTCTGTAGCTGTCAAATGTCTTTCTGCTGAATCAAAACAAGGGACCAGGGAATTGTTGACAGAGATTAATATGATCTCAAATACCCGACATCCAAATCTTGTTCAGTTGATTGGTTGTTGCGTAGAGGGTGGCAATAGAATATTGGTGTACGAATACTTGGAGAATAACAGCCTTGCCAGTGCTTTACTTGGTACTTTTCACAATGTTAAATATTCATTTGAACCAAAAGAACATATATAGGCAGTAGCGAACGAGTCTGCAGTAGTCTGCATTAGCCATTGTGCACGAGTAATTTGATAGAGTAGCTGCTTTTAGTGTTGGAAAGAGTGTCATCCAAGTATATGGCTAACCACCATATACAATTGTCATTGCAGGTTCGAAAGGTAAATGTGTTCCCCTAGATTGGCCCAAGAGAGCTGCTATATGTTTGGGTACAGCATCTGGTCTAGCATTTCTTCACGAGGATGCGGAACCACCAATTGTTCATCGAGATATTAAGGCTAGTAATGTCCTTATTGATGAAAATCTTCATCCTAAAATTTGAGATTTTGGCCTTGCAAAGCTTTTCCCTGATAATATCACTCATGTTAGTACTCGAGTGGCTGGAACAATGTGAGTGTACTTTGAATCTTTTAATAGAGCACAAGCAATTCTGCACTGTATCTATTTGTTTTTCTGCATGACGTCGTCCTTTCTTGTGTTCTTACTGCCAATGATCTCCTTTTTTTGCAGAGGATATCTTGCTCCCGAGTATGCCTTGTTAGGACAGCTCACGAAAAAGGCTGATGTCTACNGCTCCCGAGTATGCCTTGTTAGGGCAGCTCACGAAAAAGGCTGATGTCTACAGTTTCGGGGTTCTTGTACTTGAAATTATAAGTGGCAGAAGCAGCAGTAACGCAGCATTTGGAGAAGATCTCTTGGTACTGGTCGAATGGGTAGGTTTCATCAGGAGCAATAAATCTTTCGATGCAAGTCACAGATATTGCTAGTTGGCATCAAATGACTTTCTTCTACTTTCCTAAGTTTAAGTAGACATAGTTCATAGCTTTATTTTACTATATGTTGGATCAACTCCCGTAGGGGAGCCTTGGCGTAACTGGTAAAGTTGCTGCTATATGGTCAGGAGGTCACGGGTTCGAACCGTGGAAACAGCCTCTTGCAGAAATGCAGGGTAAGGCTGCATACAATAGACCCTTGTGGTACGGCCCTTCCCCATATCCCGCACATAGCGGGAGCTTAGTGCACCGGGCTGCCCTTTATGTTGGATCAACTCCAGGTCATCAGAAAAGTGTTTTAACTAATTTTTCACTTGATGTGCTCACTGCAATTCCAAGAATCTGTTGATATCATGTTCAGGAAAGCAAATTGCTTGTCTAATGCATCTTAGTAAAAAATAAAGAAGAAAGTTGAAGATGCAGAGTTTCCTTTCTTGTGTGATGGTTGTCCGAACGTCATGCATTTTCTGGACCATTAACAAGTTCTTTGGATCTTAAAGGACATAATATCAATCAATTAATCATCAATCATAAACTAGCTGGGGTCGGCTATACAAATTTATGTATTCATTTAGCCTCTCATCAACGTACTGCAACTCAAATCCTTTATTCAGCCTTGGAAGCAGTCCTATAGTCAAAGTTTGTATCTTAACGGGATGTGAAAAGTACTAATTGCTCACACAGATTTTAAATGCACATCATATAGCCAGCTACTGCAATTATACAAACATACCATCTCTTTATACTGATTTTTTGAAGGTATTTAAACTTCTGCAGGCATGGAAACTTAGAGAAGAAGGGAGGCTTCTAGATCTTGTTGATCCGGAGCTGACAGAGTATCCGGAGGCTGAAGTTCTACGCTTCATCAAAGTTGCTCTCTTTTGTATCCAAGCTGCTTATAACCATAGACCTAACATGAAACAAGTAATTGAAATGCTGTCTAAAGACGTCAAGCTAAATGAGAAGTTGTTAACTGAGCCAGGAGTCTATAGACCACATAGCTCTAAACAATCGAGTTATGGTAGTTTCCTGACTTCATCCTCCAACGGAAAGGAAGGCGTAAAATCTGTAAATCAATTTGCAACAACAGAGTTCCATAGTTATCAGAGTGTAACCGAGATGATACCAAGATAAGTGCAGCGACATGTTATTCCATTGTAATATTTCTAGCTGTTCATATTCTTTGTTATTTGTAAATTTCCCCTCTCTGCTAACCTGAGAAATACAAAGTGAGCGACATGGGTAGTCCCGTTTAAAGTCATGGCAAGAATGCATGTATTGGCCCCTCCTTAAATCTTAGAGTAGCCATTTTGTTAACCTTCTCATGTAAGATAGAGTTGAGTAGCTGGGAAGAAAAGATTATAGTAGTTAGAAATTTTACTATTAATATCCTAGTTACTTATTAGTTTGCAGATTTTGAGAGTTCCAACTAGACACCTGCAGTATGTTTGGTAATTAAGAATAGTCATCTTCCAGGTTTTATATTATGGTCTCTCTTCTTTTTTATGGATTTATAGTTATGATTCTTGAACCACGTACACTTTCTTTAATTTATCTTTAACCCTTTCTTCATTAAAGTCCACACTTGATTCGCGGTTTGGCTTACAACTCCAATGGACTTCATTGTTGAACCGCATACACATTCTTTATTTTATTATTTTATTTTATTTTGGTAACTATCATTTTTGTTAATCATCAATGAAACCATACAAGATTACAGCATCCTGTTCCATAATTTCTTTGTGAATTCACACTGCACAAATAGATGAAATCTGGATTTATTATGAGTGTGACATAATGCACAATATAAGTCCTTATTCATTTGCTCAATCTATCAGTTAGCTGTTCAGTAGCTTACTCTGTAGTTGTAACTACATTGTAAATTTGCTTTTGGCCTAGCATCGTTGTTGAACATCATACCCAAGTTTACTAATATTCCTGAAGCATTAGAAAATTGAACCAAACACTGGTGTAGTGCAGTTACAGAAGATAAATCACCTCTGGCAAAGAGTAATAAATCTTCTATTAGAACTCAAATGAGTAATTTCCTAGTCTTCCACATCTAGGATGATACTTAAATTCTTTAGCTGTCTTATCGCCTATTTGGCCAAGCTTCTTCAAGGCACTTTTTTTTTTCTAAAATGAACGTGCTCTTTTTTTTCAAACTTGAAATGTTTGACCAAGCTTTTAGAAAAAAAAAAAGTGTTTTTGAGTAGAAGCAGGAGCAGTTTTGGAGAAGCAGAAAAAAGTACATTCTTCCCGAAAGCACTTTTGAGAAAAATACACTTGGAAGCTCTTTTTAAAAGCTTGGTCAAACACCAATTGTTGCTCAGAAGTATTTTTCAAATTAATTAGCCAAATAGAAATTGTTTCTCACCAAAAGTACTTTTGAGAAAAAACACTTTTCAAAATAAGCCGATTTTAAAAACTTGGCTTAACAGGCTATTAAGCTCATTTAAAATTGTGTTTAAATAATTTGCTATTGCAACACATTCTTTAATTTTTACCTTCAACCTTTTCTTTATTAAAGCCCACAATTTA